AAACATTTTTACTTATGCTTAACTTTAGTGTTCCTCTAAATACTTTTCATTAGAACTAGGCATTAGTGTCCTGGATCATAAGAAATAGGGGGACCCCTTTATTTTTGTTTCACAATCCATTTGTTGAATGACATTGGTAGTTTTGAAAAATGGTAGAGGTTATGTTGTTTTAAAAAAAAAACATGTCTTAACTTTCCTTTTGAAAGTGCTTCTGTTTTTTCAAAGGTAACTTACATTTTTATTTTGTGTGTTCTGTTTGCAAGAGAATGCTTCTTGGTTTATTCATGTTGACAACTGAAAAGCCTTAGACCTAATTAAAAGAATTTCCACGAGCACCTTTACTGAACCATTTCATTACGCAGCACTGCACAGATTGCATTGTGAAGCACGGTGATGGTTTAAATCTGACCTTTAATCCCAAACTGCCAGGAGTAGGGGGGAGCCCTGCTTTTAAAATACTCCCCAAAGCATACATATGTATGTGTGCACATATTTGGTTAGAAATAATATTTTTATTGAATGACCACCTACTAATATAAATACGCGTTGCTTTGAGCTCAGATCCCCCAGATTAATTGTGTCTCTCCGTGTGTGTGTGTGTGTGTGTGTGTGTAGTATTAAAACTAAACTGTTTTTATAGCGAAAACAAAGACAATCTTACTTTCTTTGGGGGTAGGGGTGTACACCAAGTATTGGAGCAGCTGAATTTTACAAATGGATAGAAAATTGCAGAAGTCTTAGTTACCGTATGTTTCTCTCTCAGATACCCAGGTCCTCAGATTAAATATGTGGGAAGGGGCTGGGGTGTATGTGTGCACACTGGACTCTTCCTGAGCTTTCTTTGGTAGATAGAGGAAGTAGGATTTTTTTGGCATTGTTTTAAAATCATACTATTTTGCTCCAAGAATGTCATTGTAAGAATTTGAGAGTTCGTACACAGGATGCTCGACAGAACCATTATAACACAGAGGTAGGCATTCACATAATGAAAATTGATCCTTTTGTCTAACAAAAAGCTGGTTAGAATTAGAACACTTGCCTCTAACTTTCTGACTTGCATGTAGCCCATGAGTTATCAGGAGAGATGGAAGGGGCAGAGACCAGGGTCCCTAGGTTCATCACCAGCAGTAGCTTAGAGCACCACATAACTAGCATAGCCCTACACTCCCCAACAGAGAACCAGGATCTCTGTGGGGAAAATGGGATGCAGAAGAAGCAATTAAACCCAACTGAGGTCAAGGTCCAACCATGTTCTCAAGAAAGAAATAGAAAAACAAAGAATGAGGGGAAGCAGTAATAGAGATGTATTAAGTCAGAGGGAAAATAAGCCTGAATCATGGACAAGGGCAATTTGCTGGTCTAAGAATCCTAGCAGCAGTGAGGTTTGATGGAATAACACAGACTATGGAGTAGAGTAGGCCTGGGCTTGACTTTGACTTCTGTTCACCTGCCACAGGATTGTCTGTGAGATGTAGGTCTGAGTCTCACTTTCCTCATCTGTGACCACTTCATCCAGTCATTCTGAAGTCTTCATCCAGTGCTGTGTATGAAAAGTGCTTGCCATTTCATTTAGTGACTAGCTGAGTGCTCAGTCCATTCTAGTTCCTGTTTGCTTCTCTTAATAAATTTGTAGTTCTTCCAAAAATTATTACTGGAGAGTGCTGTGAGATTACTCTTACATACCAAGACTTTCTGCTTCAACTTTGAGGCATGAACAAAGGCATATATGGATTAATGAGACGGGGGCAGGGAGGTGAGCTGGTGGCCTGGGAGAGCACTGAGGAAATGGCTGAGTCGGTAAAGTGTTTGCCATGGAAGCATGATGATCTGAGTTAGGATCCCCAGCACCTATATAAAATCATAGGCCCAGCAGCATGCCAGTAATCTCAGAGCTGGAGAGGTGGAGACTGGAGGATTCCTGAGGCTTAATGAGCCAACCACTGTAGTGGAATTGGTAGGTTCCAGGTTCAATGAGAGACCTTGTCTCAAAGACAAGGATGGGTTGGGAGATGGCTCAGTGGGTTAAATACTTGCTGTGCAAGTGTGAGGACCAGAATTTGGATCCTCAGCACCCACATAAAAGCCAGGTGGTGCTGCCACTGAAATGCCTTCCCAAGTTGAAGCACTTGGCCAAGCCAAGCATGTGCTGGGGGTAGCAGGAAATATATGCATCTTATGGTAGAGCCTCAGTCCTCAGACCTAGCTCAGTGGTCAGAAGAGGCTTTACAGATGAGAGGACATCTGGATTCCCTCTTCTCATTACCCCAAGGCAGTGGCTAATTTAACTATTAAAGAAAAAAATACCTCATTTTACTTCTTTATTATGAAAGCAACATATGCTCTTTGATAAAGGATAATCAAAACAATCAAGTTTATAAAATAGAAAGTGAAAGCATCCTTGTATAGTTAACATTTGATACATGGCATTTTAGGCTTTTATTACATACATATATATTTAAACACATTTTTAAATGATTTGTGCTATACATACTGTTCTGCAACTTGCACACATGGACCCCCATTTGACAGTATTTTATGAACATATTTTCACATCAGTTCAGAATCTGCCACTGGCAACTTCATGGCATTTCATCATGAGGGTGTGGTGTAATTTACTTAATGGGCCCCATTGATACAGATATGGACAGTTGAAGAGTAAGTGGATGGACATCCATAAGCAGGACAGCTCTGTCTGCATGGCGAAACTGAAGCGATTCAGTGTCAGTAGACCAAGTCTAACGACTGAGCAGGGCAGTTGGGTTGACTAGGGTGGCCTGCCTGGCCTGCCCTGAGCAGCCCAACTGTTCTGAAGGTGATTATGGGGATGGGGGTGCTAGAGAGTTTGACTGAGGATTGAAGTCATATTTGAATATTTCCAGGATTACTAGAACATCTATGGCTAGATGGCATTGAAGAGGTGGAAGCAGAGAGCTCACTTAGGGAATGCACTGAGCTGTACCTCACAAGGCTAAGATCATGTGCATTGATAGGCAAAGGCAGACTCAGGCCATGTCTGGGGGTAGTGTTGATAAGATGTCACAGTAGCTGTGAGAAGGGATGAAGAGGCACGGACGGAGCTGGACCTCTGTCCTAGGAGCTGTGGATGGTTCTATAGTGCCCACGCAGGGTTGTAGAGAAGACCAAGGGCTGCTGGAGAGAGGAGCTGTTGAGTGCAGTCTTATACCCTCTTCCCTCTGCTTTCTGTCTTCCTCCTGTGACACCTGATTAAAGGAGGAAACCATCCTCACCAGCACTTCTACCACCCCCAGAATGCCCCTGATGAACCCCGATGTAGTGATTTGACCAGCACCCCAGGAATACTCAGGGCAAGTTCAGCTTTAGATGTATGATGGTGGGTTAGTTAAGCCTTCCATTTTCTTCACTGGCTTTTATTTAAGAGACAAAATGCTATCCTGAGCTATTAGATACACATAGACTTTCAGTTTCAAAGTTTGAAGTGCTGACAGGTCAAGACAAAAGCTTCTCCATGTCACGGGATGTGCGAGGTCTTCAGAAGTCTTGGCCTAGGTGCTCACAGGGTGTCAGAAGCCCGGGACCACTTGGCTAGCTTTAGACCAGCAGGGGCAGGCAGGAAGGAGCTTTCTTCTATTTGCTCAGTCACCATCAGCGACTCCTTCTTTGTGTAAGATGGTAATGAGGCCATTAGGAGAGGCTCACCTGAAGTGCAGCTTGTGAATCCAAGGTAATTAAACACCTCCCGAATGAAAGGGAAAGGCCAGGGAAGGTTAAGTGAGGAATAATCTGCAGCACAGGTGGCCCAAGGCCTTTGAGGAGCCAGAAGAAGAGCGACAGTGGCGGGCACCACCATTTCAAAGGGAAGAAATGTCACCCTGGTCCTCAAGAGGGGCAAGATTTTTATTATTTGGGAGGGGGGGGTGGTAATATTTTTAACATTTTAGTAAAACATATTTTTTCATACTTCTGTCTCAAGTTGAAAATTCATGACAGACCCTACCAGGGTGCCAAGGAACCTACATCACCATCTTTCCTCAGGAGCTCAGCATTGCAGTCTTTGAGTCTATGGGTCCCAGAAAGGGGGAGTGCAGCAGACTATCACACAGTGCATGCACACACACACACACACACACACACACACACACACATGTACGTGCATGTGCATGCACACATAGACACAGCAATAGATGCCCAGCTGTTTTCAGAGGAATCCTGTTCGTGGCTCCCTGCAGAAGTGGGGCAACCAGCCCCTACCTGCATGTTCCCACCACTGCTGACCTTGTAGTTCACAGTCCAGGCAAGTTGCTCACTCCTAGCAACCTCACAGGAGTGTTCACTGTACTCAGTTAACCATTATTAATGGCCGGCTGTGTGCTAAGTGCTGTGCTCTGTGACTTATAGGTCCTTTCAGCTCATCTTCATTGTGTAAGATCAGCACCTCAAAATCTCTGCTATCTTCACACCAAAGCTTGTACATGAATCCCTATAACAGCACCGTTCATTGCCCTAAAGCAGAAACTGATGAGCAGATAAATAAGATATGGTATGCAAAAGAATTTTATTCAGCCACAAAAAGGGGTGAAGACCTCATAATGTATTACAACCTAACATGAGCATTGAGGTAAGTTATAGAATCTGGTCATGTGAATTCAATTGAGTGATTTCATGTATATGACTTATACAGAATAGGTAAGTCAGGTGGATGGTCACCTAGGACTAGAATGAGAATAGAATTGGTAGGGAATGGGGATCAATAGCTAAGGAGATAGTAAAAATACTCCAGGATTATATGATAGTGATTTTTATATGACCTTATGATTATACCAAAAGCCATCATACTATACACTTTAAATGAGTGAATTTTGTGATGTGCGAAATATGTTTCCATTAGCCCTAACACAGAAGGCATTTGCTTTCATCAAAGTGACTCCTCCTGGGATATTCTAAGGCTCTCTGGGTGCCAGGCTTAGTCAGCTGCCCCTCTGCAACCTGCTCTCTTACTACCTCCTTTCTTGTGTCTCCAGATCTCCTCCCTGAAGAACAGGCTGAAAAAGGTCTCCACGACTACAGGCGATGGGGTGGCCAGAGCCTTCCTTAAGGCCCAGGCTGCTTTCTTTGGCAGCTACCGGAATGCGTTGAAAATTGAGCCGGTGAGTAGCCTCTTGGCACATGAAAGAGTCTATGTTTATTCATGGACCAGGTGGCCATCTCCAGCCATAAGAAATCCTGTTTTTTTTCAGTTTTTGAGATTACCCAAAGAAGGTTTTGTGTGTGTGTGTGTGTGTGTGTGTGTGTGTGTGTGTGTGTTTTAGAGGGTCTTGAGTGAGGGATTTCTTTATCAGCTCACCTCGTTAGCATGGGGAAGCTGAGCCCTCATGAGGCTCTCACTGCTTCTGTGAGAGATGTGAAGGTACCCCACCACCTGCTTGTTAGATCTTACACGAGGCCCGTCATGCTTGCCAGCTCTCCCTGAAGACTCACAGGTCACCTGTGAAATAGGATGATCAGCTCCACTTTCCAAATAAGGACACTGGGGCTCAGGGAAGAGAAATGACTGACTTAGCAGTGGTACCAATGTCCATGCTTTTGTCCTGTGCCTCTCTGCCCCTCATTCTTCAGAGTCCCTTCATCCCAGAGACTCACTCCTGGGTAACTCCTGTATATAGACATGGTCTAAATGACCACGAAGCACAGTGAGGACTGGGTAATGGCATTGCCTGCCTGTGTGGCCCTTCTACCTTCCTGAGCTTCTGTTGATTATGTGCTTGCCTGCCCTGTGAGGTAATATTGAGAGGGTACAAAGAGGTCCGTTCTTCCCCGAAACCAAAGACACTTCCACTACTTCTTCCTGCTTCCAGGAGAGGCTTCTCTCTGATGTTCCTCTGCCTGGCCCACCTTTGGCTCTTGGCCAAGCAGAATGCACACTCAGCACAGGCAGAGTGAGTGTGAGGGACCAACTCACACTCTAGTCCATCCTGGTCTGTTCTGGTTTCAGCCTCAGCCCTCTAATGCTTAAAGCAAGTACTCATGTCCTGCTTGTCTGAAAGGGAGCTGGCTCGCTCTAACTCTGACATGATCTTGGGCCCCACCAAACCACTCAGATTTTAAGAGCTGGCATAATACAAGGAAAGTATTGTCCTCACCCCTCTCCGGATGGAGAATGGGACAGTTGGCCTCGTTCTTTTCCGGGGTTGCTGGGGACCCAGCAGGCTGGACACATGGGCTGGTATGATCTGGGCACATGAGCTTCCACAAGAGGAGTTTCTGGTTACACTTGACTCTGATAGGTATTAGGTAAAAGGACAGAAGCCCAGGAATTTAAAAGTGGACTCTACTTCTTAGCTGTATAAAACTTGAGCAATGGAGCCAGGAGTGGTGGCTCACACCTGTAGTCCCAGCACGTGGGAGGCAGAGGCAGGCGGATCTCTTGTGAGTTCAAGGCCAGCCTGATCTACATAGTTCCATGACAGCTGGGCCTACAGAGAGACCCTGCTTCAAAAAGACAAAAAAAAAAAAAAAAAAAAAAAATTTGAGCAAATCACTCAATATGGCTGAACTTTATTTTCTTCATCAGTAAAATGTGGATAAGCCTCCTTTCTGTACTTGAGGTTATTGTCAGAATGAAGCCCAAAACATTTCATAAAGAAGGTAAGACCCAACTGGGGTCTGATGATGAAGATTCCTCCAGGGAAGGGCATTAAGCTCCTAACCTACAGTGTGTGGAGACTGCTGAGCATGCCAAGCCTTAGAGGCTTCATGGACAATGATTGGCTGTCTTGCCTGGAATGAGGTTTGGATAGGGAGATGGGGCTGCAGGAGGGTTGAGCCAGATTTGACAGAAGTTTAGATGCTGGGCTAAGAGTATGAACTTCACCTTGTAGGAGCACAAGTTTCTGAGCAGAGGTGTGATGTGACTGGTGGCAGGTTTGCACAGTAAAGACAGTGATGGGGTGAAGGAAAGCTGGAGACAGACTAGTTGGAGGAATGTTGTGGGAACTCAGAAGAGACCCCTCCACTTGTATGAGGAAAAGGTACGTGATGGAAGTGTCTCCTGAGATGGGGAGCCTGAGAGAGGATGGTGACGCCTCTAGAAGGAAAAGGGAAAGCCCGATGCCGAGGTGTTCACAGCAGCAGGATTTGTAATGGAAAGGAATTGGCATAGACTAAGTGTTCATGGTAGGTAACTGGTAAGATGCCTTAAAGCAAATCACATAATATTTACATAGCCATTAAAGCATTATTTGAAGATAATGACAGGTTTGTTTCAGATAACAGTGGGAAGAAGTTTTCATCTCAGAATCAATAAAATATGGCAGATCTGTCACACTTTAGGTCTCATTCATTTGTACAAGGGTGGCTTTCCTCTGGAAGGCAGAGAGAACCAGAAGGTCTGGGGTTTCCCAATTGAGCAATGAGCCAAAGGTGGTTAACATGTTACCTTTTGACTTAAAAGGTGGTTTTTAAGTAAAAAATTTAGCTCTTATAATTTCTACTCATCTGAAAAAGGAGTGACAACATTTCCCATACAAGATTGTTTGGGGAGTTAATTACAATGGCTACAGAGCACATCTGAGCTTGAAAAATGGGGAGCAGGTAGTGACTGCAAGGCTGGGGAGAAGAGTGCATTATGTAAGCCTGCTAGGGTATCGAGCACATAGTGCTGAAGGACAAGAAGGTCTCCCCAGGACCATACACCTTTTGTTGTTTGGTTATAAAATTGCACCAGTTAGGCTGGAGAGTGCATACTGCTGAGTTTGGTTCCCAGCACCCATGTTGAGCGGCTCACAACTGCTTGTAATTCTAGCTTCAGGAGATCTGACACCCTCTTCTGGCCTCCATTGGCAGCTGCACTCACATGCAGAGGCACACATACATACATATAATTAAAACTAATATAATCGTACCAGTTAGGCTAGGAATATAACTCTGGTAGAGAGCCTGCCTAGCATGCGCAAGGCTCTGAGTTCTAGCCATAGCACTGAAAAGAATTAAATTTAGGGTCAACTAGAAGTCAGAATCACCCTGGTCCCATTGTGGAGAGTTTGGAGTCTTAGGTTTTATTTTTGCTTTGTTTGGTTTACTGTTTTTTTAGGCAGTTGGACTATCCTTGACAAAGCAACCCCATATCCCACTTGCTAGCCTGGTTTGCCTTTTAGTATGTATAAACACTTCACACATTGTGTAAAGACTCTTCCCATATGTCAAGGGAACCTTCAGGGAGGAGGGTCCCTTGCAGCCTGGGAGTTACCACTAGCCCTTGTGTTATACCTGCCCTTGCTAGTTTGTGGTGTGTTGCTGTCGCACAGGTATGTCCTATCAGGACACCAGTGTCACGGGAAACGGGTTACCTCAGAGTCATTGCATTGTGTTGCATTGCATTACACTGAAAATGTGAACCCTGTTGGTTTGGAGCTGCTTCTTTCCTCTCTGCTTCCAAATAGTTTGTAACTTTGAGAGGGTTCCTTCACTCCACCTCCATTCTCTTCCACATGTAGCTGGCCCCTTGCAATATTGTAGTGAAGCTTGAATAAGCCCAGCCCAGGACCTGCTGGTCATCCGTGGAACAGCTGGCCTGTCCCTCACCAGGGTTATTCTCTAGCCAGGGGTCCTGGGGGGCAGGGGGGCAGCTCCTTGCAGAGTTGGTCCATTCCCACTCACCTGTATAGAAGAACAAGTCCCAGCCTGAGAGGCAGAGGTGGGCAGCTCCTTTTCAGTAGCCAGGCCTCAGGACCCTGCCCTGGCTTAGAGCTCACTTGAGATTCTAACACCTTGGCCTTTGTTTCCTTTCCTACTGAAAAAAATTCAAAATGCAGTTGGGCTATTGAGCTTTGTTTTCTCCACATCAGAAGGAAAAGGAAGGGCCCCTTGCTGGGGCTACTCCTCACTGTCAGTGCCTTTCACAGGCTTGTGGGACACCTAAGCCTGGTGCTGGCTAGGTGAGTTGTTTCAAAGGGTTCTCCCCCAGTTGGAAAGTGAGAGGATAAGATGACAGGAGTGATCATGACTGTGTCCACCTCACCTCAGTGGCCTCCCGCAGATCAGGGCCTGGTTCACCTTCAAGTAACTTCCCAACTGTGATCTCAGTTCCCCTGACTGCTGCTCTGTCCATTGAACAGATAGAAACAGAGACACTGACAAGGACAGCCAGGAGGAAACTCATGCCGGCCTGACTCTAAGACAAGGCTCCTTCCACTGCGCCCTCTTGCCTATCTTGGTTCCAGTTCCCACAAGTTCCATCTTAACCATTCTCTCTGTTTCCTGTGTCAGGCACAGGTCATGGCACAGTGCGTTAGGAGTCAGCATCCATTCCAAAATAATGGATGAAAGACTGGACTAAATCAAATGAAGATACAGAAATGCACTAGCGGCAGTGGTTGGCCCTGGGTCTATGTTCTGTGTGCATGCATTGTGTCCTGTCCTGTCAGGAGACTTTGGAGGTAGCTGCAGCTAGCAGAAGGGAGGTGTCCGCAAATCACAAGGGCATATGACCCATTTTTCAGTCACCCGGAGCTCAAAGCCTGGGGTATTTAACCACATTGGCCAAGCCAACTTGTTCTTCCCACTTAACTGACAGAACCACAAGCAGCCAGGAAGCCCCATTCGGAGAACCTCTTTATCCATGTCAAGCCCAGCCCAGGCTCCAGCTCATTTATTTAGGCCTTTCTTGCTCTCTGACACGCCTCCTAGCAGTTGCCAGGCAACTCTGGGAGTAGCAGTGTGTGTTGGGGATTAACTAGTTAGGGCTGGGGTCCTTTTTGGCAAGAAGGGGATGGAAAGACAAATGATTTTAATTGCTAGGGCAAGCTATTCTCTGCTTGGGAGAAGATTGCAACTTTCGCAGGGTATGGATAGCAGTGTGATTCCTGAATTTGCTTTCACCAGTCCCCATTCTCCCTCCTAGGGAGAAGGCATGAATTTTTAAAAGAATATATTCGGTCTTACTCCCTTGTTTAAACTTATAGCACGAGGAAATCTGAGTTAGACTACCCTTTTTGAAAAAAACCTTTCATGGCACACTGCTCTCAGTTTGAAGAACTTGTGAAAATAGAAGCAAATGCTTTCGTTTATTCCTCCTTCTACTCAGTATCCATTCATGGTTCCTGTACTTGGAGTGGTCTTGAGGCAGGAATGTGAGGGTGCATCTCCTATA